AAGATAGCTTGTTGCGAGGAAAATCGTCATATTCTTTGGTTACCGTTTACAATTGTAAAATTAAAGGTAATTTATTCATGGAAGTGGATTGTAATAATTAACTATCATAATAGGTTTATGTGGTAAAACATTCATCTGATCGAAAATTTGACGTGAAGTGAAATTATAGTACGAGTTATAAAATTATCTCGCATTGAATCGTGCCTCTTAAATAAAATCGTTCATGGAAATTTGCATTATATTCCTCATAATTTTTCAGATATTTTTTTTCGTTGAACTTGCGTTGCTTCACTATTATGTGTCGATTATCTAAAAAAATCCCCAGTGCTTTTTCGTAATTGACAGGCCTGAGAATTTCGAAAAATTCTCCGATTCACAAAGCGAATTCTACATTTTCTGTTTCAGTTTCCCCGTACCGGAAATTTTTCGCGCCTGATTTATGGGAGAAATATCCTTGCACTTTTCGATTTGTGGTTAACAAATTGCTTGGCATTCGAGTTTAATGGAGGCTCTTCGGTAGAACGGAACGCAAAAGTTCATGACAAACAGACCGGCTTTGGAGGGCTGCCCCATAACTCATACGAGGCATCGCACTTAGTCTACGCTCGAATGCTACCTAATAAATTACGAACTTCTTTCATCTAGAACTCCTACTAGGCGCCTAAATATGGGGCGCCACGCTGCCCAGCTCTCTACTAACGTCTTTCTCGTTCATTAGACTCTAATATTCTACAAGAAAATCAAGGCACTTGTTAACGTTGCAATATAATCCTGCACATGCCAATTTTAACTCTTTTTAGTTGAGTTCAATTTTTTTGATTGATTCATGGAAATTGTAAAAATCTGTTTTGCTGTATTCCTTACTTTAAAATTCCCACTGTGATCAGGATACTTTGTTGGTAAAATTCACACGTTGTGGAATCATGTTTGGAGCGATTGCTTCAAATGTTGCGAACCTAGACAGTACCTACATTAATATGGATAATCATCCCGTAACCTGTAATTACAGTTAAAATCGGTTTAATATATAGATAATTACAGTTAAGATCGGTTCACCCTTCAGTCTTCGGCAGTCAATCAATATTAGGCACTAGTACCACAGCCCAATATGTAGTATTTCATATATTCACTGTTCACTTTGTCTGTTGTCTATGTTGCTCTTATGTCTTATATGTATGAATAAACCATTCATAGTTATTCTCGCGACTTATGGAACCTGGGCTTAATAAATCCTTTAGTCAATCCTCACCCATCTGCCACTATTGTAGTAATTGTTTAAAATAAACCCCAATGCTTCGAAGCGATAAAAAATCAAAGATGCAAGTGCGCTATAATTTCGTTTAGTATTTTTTTTAAACATTAATTGATTTATTGATCTGTTCGACGCCGATCACACTTCACATTTCGCTTGCAATCTCTGAGTAAGAATAGTATGATATGTTGAAAAGTATATCAAATTGTCGAGAAAAAACGTAGTGCATAATAATTGGTAAATGAAAATTTAAGGGGGGAACTTAAATTTTCTTCCTCAGTCTAGATTTAGGATTTTGAGATGCATTAAGCAGGTGCTTCTAGCTGAATATCATTTGGTAATATGTAGACAATGACAATTTTCTCCCTTTTTATTGAATCTAATAATGAAATCAAAGACCATATTATCAGAATATAATCGTATATAGAAAGATTTCGTGAATATAATCACATATTATATATGATCAGAATAATGTTCCACCAGGCGCCTTCTTTCAATGGCAAGTCTTTGACTGATTCTGAATGCATCATCACGAGGCAGGCGGTGCCGGAAACCTCACTAGTATTTTACTTCAGCAGCTCGGCGAGTTTTCTGGCCAGGAGAAAGGAAAATGTGTCTCTTTTGTATCGTTGACACGTCCATGGTTGATAATTTAGAGCTGAAATAGATTTGCGTATCATGATCTCGAAAGAACCCGTTATCTTATTTGTTCATTTATTCATGTTTAGTAGAGTTCGTGATGCAACGATGCGAAAATATTGTAAATTTCGGATAGCATTCCAAGTAATTAGTAAGCTAATTATCACCCCTAGAATAAATAATTATGTGCACGTAAAAATCAGGGACCAGGAAACTGATCAAGTAATCGAACACAAGAAATGGAAACGACAATCGCGAATCGGCCTCCGAGCGTGCACTGCACTAGAAGAAATGAGTGAGACGTTGTCCAAATAGCTATGCACATTTTGTCTTTGTGTAGACCGCTCTTTTGTGTACGTCCGTTCTTTGCTATAAGGCTGTGGGTAAGGAAGTGGGTCACTATTTGTTCAATGATCCATTCGTTTTTTTGATGGCAACGGGGTAATTAGATCTTCCACAATCTACATAAATAATTTTAAATTAATGGCATTACCCTTTATTGAGGCGTTTACACTCTTCACCAATAACGTAATTACTGCCTTGAAACATTTAATTTCGTTATAATACCGCATTCTAGGGTTGGTTCATTAAAAGTGTAAGCGATTTCCATTCGATTTTGTTGTTTTTACCCCTCAGGGGGGGGGGGACTTTTGACGCGTGTCTGTGCTCGTCAGAAGTCCTATGGGATCTCGCGCTCCTAGGGGGATTGTTCCTGAGCGCCCCCCCGCTGAGCTCGCGGTGTCTGACTGCAGGTCTCAGTTGTGGGGTTAAGTTATTATGTAGGTAGGATTCCTTACATTTCCCTTCTCTGTCTCTCTCGTGCGGGCGGCCGACGTCCCGTGTAAGCGACCTCATGTTCGAGTGTCTTCGTTTCTGTTGCTTTTCACCTGTCCCTCCTTGTAACTTCGTCTCTTTGAGATGCTAACACTGCTTCCTTCGAGCCAGCTTCAGCGGGCTGGACAATTGAGACCTCCTGCCCCTTGTGGGTGATGACCTATTTTTGATTTGAGAAACTTTTTATAATTGAGACCTTCCATCTCTTTGGTGATGTTCAACATGACTTTCGGTGCGAGATAGCTAAATAGCTGAAGTGCTAGTAAACATGTGGCCACTAAACTAACTAACTAACTTGTTGTTTTTTAATTATATATTCGTGTTCTTCGAGAGAAGTGTGGTATTATTCCATTCTTTATAGCAGTTTGCCAGCATCTCTATTTTATGGATTCTCTGATACGTACTATTTATAGCAGTTCATTGTGGAATTTAACCCGCAATTCTGTATCTATATTTTTTAAAACTACAATCATGTTCTCGGAAAGCATTCTTAATCAGTGTTGTTTGGTTCTTTGGCCATTATCAACATCGACGAAGTTCAATGGCGATTTGAATTTCATTACACATTTAAATTTTACGATCCTCAGTGTCAGGATGCGCGATAGATTGGGTCACTCAATAATTAAAATATTACCTTCATCTAAGGACTTTATGAGACAAAAATAAGTACAAGGATCTGATAGAAAAAGTTCCTTGTATTAATTTATGATTTCTTAAATTCGCTTGTTGTTGCGTTGGCAAATACTCTACCGTGCATCCCGACGGAATCAGATAAATAAATTTACTTCTCGCTTCAGGGGATGAAAAGTTGACCGATTTGCTCTCACAATTTATTTGCATAATATATGTTCAAAACACGGTTGCAAGAATCATATTATATACAAATATGCAGTTTCTATAAAAATACACGGCAATATACACAGGACAAGAGCCCAACTCACTCTACATATTTTTACCACGAATTATAGTCTAAAATTTTAATGCTTTACTAAATAGCACATTTTTATGCCCTATCGACGGTTAACTTCGCATTTGGTCTAGAACAAAAGCGAGGATAGAATATAAGAATTTATTTCCTAGTAAGATTTTCAATGTAAGAAAGAGGATTTTTTTGGTTGACTTAATCATGGCATTCAATTTCAAGTGTAATAATTATAGACCAGAGAATACAAATGTTTGCCCTGGATAAATGCAAATTATTTTTAGGTGGAGATATCATTTTTTTTCTATTTTGAGTGGGATTTTAGGAAATATTTTTAGATTGAAAACATGGATTCAAACATGAATGGATAGATCTCATTCAAAGCTCGTATGAACATAAAAATAAGTTTTAAATGCTAATTCATAAACTTAAAAACGTCTAAGAAAATAAACCGAATAATTGGCCATTCCGCTGAAACTAGTAAATTTCCGTAGTAAATCAAAATTAAGGCCTATTATTAAGAGGCCACGTTAAAAATGATGAACATTACTCAGAGATGTCCTTTGAAACAGACTTGTGAACTTCTCTCACCGGCATAAATGCTTTATTGTGTCACATTAAAATTGACTATAACGAAAAAAGTATGGAGGGAGTGCTTCGAAGGTAACATTAAGATTAATTATTCCATTTAACACCACATGTACTGACACTCGCTTTAGTGAGTCCAAAAGAATGAGATCATAGGATACGGTGCTCTGGTAGCTTGTATCCGAATTCATGGAATAGGAAGTGACATCACAATTGAACCATACTAAGGTCAGTCCTTGCTTCTTTTAGTGAACGGACCAATAATGAGTTAAATTTGTCAGTCTTTCTAAAAGTTCCCATGATAGTATTAATATTAGAAATGTATAACATGCCAAATTGAAAATTTAAAGAAACAATAAAATTATGTACAAAATCGGGTGTCTCCTCAAGAAAAATAGGGGTCGTATGTATTTCAGGTTGAACAGAGAGTATATTCTATTACCACTGATAATTTCAATAGTTCATGAAAACATAGATAAATCTTTCCTTTGATGGATGTACCTCCCGAGATGTATTCTATGTTATTAAAGTCAGCATAAAAAATCGCCCATGCGGATTTACTTAATATTTACACGTGATATTCAACTATACACCGACAAAGATGGAGTTCTCGAATGCGTTAAAGCTTTAATAACGATCGTAAATGCACAGAGACTGCCAAACTGTAGTCATATACAACGCGGCATCACAGAGATACAGTTATTTAAAGTGTAGATACAGAGACACCGTGCGTTTCGCAGTATGAAATAGGACATAAAAAGAATATTGGCGCGTTAATTGTATCGATCGTAAGGTAAAAAATTAAAAGGCGGTGATGGGTGCAGAATTGCATCAATAGTGAAAAGCACAATGAAACGTACTGGAATGCACTATGGTTAAAATCACAGATACGAGCATTTGATTAAGTATAGCATAGCCGTCGCTCTCGATCCATTTACTTAGCTTCCCTTACAATGTTTTCAGACCGAAAATTAGCTACTTCTCTCAATCATCATAAAACTATCCAATTCTAATCACGCGCGCTGCATTAATGTATCTTTGGCTAGATACTAAGTGCACTCTATCAAATAATTACAAAACATTTACATGTCTTCGTGTTAAAGGCAACTTCGTAGAGGGTCGTAATCGCGCCGCTCAATGCATCAAAAACAACCAATCACGAAAAAATTTTCCACTGATGCTCAGCACACAGCACTGGGTTCTCCTTGAAGGGAGCACAGAACCAAGTCCAACTTGTGTGCCAAGTGTAAAGTTCTACATTCAGGATCTACAGCTAAGGTATCCAGTATCTGAGGATAGTAGCGAAGAACATATTTGTGAAAGAGTTCTTGTAAGGCAGGCACAGTATCCACGTTGCTGAGGTGAGTTAAACTCAACTGGTGTAGGTGTGAGGACATTTCTTGCTCCGTGACATATGGCATGTCACGGATTCCGTTATAGAAGTTTCGCATAAGAGAACGATAGCGAGGCATATCCTTAGCAAAAAGTAACTTGTTCGAAGGAGAATCTTTGCCAAGTCTGTGCTCAGACGTCGAACACGAGTCCATGAAAGTCTGAGCGATCACCGATAAGCAAGCGTCAACGGTCGGACTCTTGTGAACATCTAAGATAAAGTCAGGGTTTTTGATAAAATTCACCCAGAATCTGAGAGGAAGGCTGTTTGACTTCCACGACGTTACTATTTCGGGATCGCTGATACCTCTTACTCTTGCTGCATCGTCAAAGAGATCGAAGAGCCATTTTATAGCGGGAGGAAGTCCATTATTGGGACTCAAGATAGTTCGGAAAAAATCATCGACAAACTTTTGAACTGTACCCTTAGTGGATAGTAATCTCGTGAGGAATATTTCGGGTATTGCTTTATGGGTTCTATCGGAGGGTCTCTGAGGAGAGTCGTGGTCAAGAGGCTTGACGAGATGGTAGTAAGAATGCCGGGCGTTGGGGCCCTCGAAGTCGATGGTGGCGCTCACTGGACTGCCAGAGGCGCTCCGGCTGTACGTGTGACCTGTGCGGGCACAAAATGATGCGTACTAGAATAGTCATTGCTATATCCTCATTAATGCTCTATAAAGGTTTTAAATTTGGTGAGAATATAATTACAAAGTAGTGATGGTCAAGTGAATTGTTCATTACAATGCTGAAATAATTATTTCATTAATACTGAAGGAATGAAATAATGAATAGATAAAATGAGGAAGCATTGTGTTGAATTGTTTCAAGTCTAATATTGAGTGAAGAATATAAGAAATGCCTCCATCAAAAATCATAAGCATTGGACGCAAGTTTCTGAGGATTAACGGTAACTTTTTTATGTAGTGAAGTTGTCGTCTTCAACCCAACTCACTCATAAACTTGGTGGATGCCGAGTGGTTGAGAGTGACATGCAAGCTATGCGGCTGATGTAGTGTGGCATGGGAGCGATGGTGCATTGGCGGAGGCAGTTGTGGCGGGCAATGTTGCCGTGGCACGAGCGCCATGATGGCGGGGTCCGCCACACCATAATGAGCCAAAGTGTTCAAGCGCCGCCAACCGCCAGGCTCCACCCGCGTCGTGATGTCTTCGTCAGCCAGAACCACGTGACCGTTGCGGCCGTGACGCCATTCTGGTGGAGGGCGACATGCCACTGTTAAATTTTGACTACATCGAACAGAGAAAAGTAACGAGCAGAGAAAAGTAACAAATTATGCGATGATCTACAGAACAAAAATTAGGCATGGATATTTCACTCCTTTGACAGCAACAGGGCAGTTGATTCGTTAGCATACACACATTCTCACCAGTCAGGGCGAATGTGCGTATGCTAACCAGTGTTTAAGGAAAAATAATCAAAGTCAAATTTAAACAAAACTACATTTTTGGAAAAGAAGCGAGCCCAATCAAGTCGACAACTACTGATCATTTCGTGCAGAAAAAATCTCTTTGAAAATGTGAGAATGCGGCCTTGTAAAGACTTCTTCAATATCAGATAATTGTTCAAATTCTTTATTACACTTGACAAGAGCCTAAACTGTATCGATGTTTCATCTGATGTCGTTTCCTAATGATCTAATGTTTATCTCTGGCATTTATAAACTCGTCCCAAGATTGTGAAAGCGTAGACAAATGAACTGCCCCAAGGATCTAACGGCCATTTGTCAGCATAGGTTGCGATTTGTGCTCTGCATCCGCAATGAGGACAGCCAAAGCCAAGCTTGGATCATTTTCTCTACTCGGAATTAATGAGGTCCGCAGCTGCAAGTGGCAATGCCAGCAAATGCTTCTTCCGCAATTCTGGCTCGCTATGAATATTGATAAGTCCAGCGCTAAAATTAAAAATTTTATTCAGCGGTCTGGGAAAGGATCATGAAATGGTGCCCACCTCTAATCTGCGAGCCTTGACAGTAATAAAAATTTTACGCCAGTATTTCCAAAAGTTCAGATGAACTTTGATTATGCGAAACGCTAGCATAAGATTCACAGTAACCGACGAGTAAGAAGCTGGAGAAACGCATTATGGGAATTAATTTAATAATTAATTAGCAGAGCCGTGGGATGAGCAGCAGTTGAAATGAAAAATACGCACGTTACACATTCTAATGTAATATAATTGTTTATTTGCAAAAAAAAAAATTATACTTCAGAATTGATATGGTTCAAATTCCCAGCTGCATTTATTCTATGTGCGTGCTGGAACTCCGGTGAAGTAAACGCTAATACTGTGGAGTCGAATAACTTGGTAGTATAAGAATTACAGAGTATTTGCAGTCAAACAGATTTCTTAAAATATGTCACTGCCCAGGTAATAAAATTCGATTTCTGAAGTAAGTTACATACATTTGTACGGAAAATATTAAAATTTTCTTCTCAGACAGGGATGAAAAATTAAATGACGTTCCGACCAGATCAGGGATAAGTTTTGAAGCACAAATTAGCACATCACTAGTCACTACTGTGAAGTCATGAGTGATGCATGCGCAACACATCACCTGAACGAGATAGGTAAGGGGAAAGTTACGAAGTACATCACTGATGTGATGTCATGAATTACATCACAGATATGGTTTCAAGTAACATGCATACAGAACTCATCGCAATCGAGACCAAGGATAAGAAGTCAGGAAGTACATAACTGATTAGGTGTTACGAAGTGCATAACTGATATAGTGTTACGAAGTACATAACTGATATAATGTTACGAAGTACATCGCTTCATGGTGTCCCGAAAAAAGTGTGCAGAACTCATCACTAACCGAGATCAAGATCGTGTACCGATGGCCGCAGGGAGTGAGGAGTGCTGCGGTAGAGCGCGTCTAGTATCTTACTCTTGGCCTGCGTGATGGTGTCGCAGTCCAGCACGCGGCACTGCGCCTTCTCACCATCCTCGCCCAACACTGCCACGTACTGAAGAACAGTGACAATAAATCATGAGAGCAAATAAGTAAACAATTACATAGCGATATTGTTGGTAAAACACTTTTTTATCTAAAAGAAACGGTATAAGTAAAAACCATCGAAATGAATTCTTATATATGAGTCTAATACTTGATATCTGGGGCATTTTTGGTACGTACTCCATTTGTCCTAAATATTTACTTAATGTTGATCAGGTTCCTGATTTTCTTACATTCTTGCATAGAACTACAGCACTGCCTCTAAACTGTTTTTTTAAAGTGGAATACAAGCATAAATAATTTATGAGATTTCTTGCTTATTCACATTACATTCATTAAACTCATCACATTCATCATTCTCATCACGTTCAGTATAATCACGGTCAGTGAGCACACTCACGAGACCTAAAATACATTCTCCCTTTACAGATGCATTTAACACGATTCAGAAAATATTTATACATATTTGGATTTAATAAACGTGACACAAATATTACATGACATAAATAATGCGAACAGATAATAATAATGTAAATGAGTTAATGCGACACGCTATAGTCGAAAAAATATTCGAGAATGAATCAGCAACAGCAACTCTGAATTTTATCAGCCGGTGAAGAATGAGTAGTGAGCCTTTGAAGGAAGATATTCAACTCCAAGCAATCTAGGCAACTTTCATATTATCCATTATAGAACATGATTCGAAATAAAAACTCGGGATTATTCTATCATGTTTGGTCGCTACAGACTATGATTCCGTTTGTCTCATAAAAGTAATAAAAAATCTTCCATGTATTATTATACCACAAGAGGCTCCATCATCTGGAGCTGTTCCCTGAGATTTGCACAGTCTTATGACACCTTAGCAATTTCCTCGAAGCCAGCGAATCCCCTCTTCCCAACACGCACATTTCCTGATGGTCCATATCCGAGTTCCATTTACTCTGATGTATTCGAAGGTTGGACGTGATGCTGGAATGGTCATCCATGCATCACAGACCAACTACCACCTGCCACAAAACTTGTCTACGGCTTCAATCCTATAGCGAGCAGCGCCTCTTCAAAGACCTCGGAAATAGGGGCATCGGTTGCGCCAGTCATTCGTCTTCGTCTAGTATCACACATGATATGTCAGGGCCACGTTTGGCGAGTCGTGATATTCGGCACGCAATTCCGTAATTTTGCCGAATCCGAGTTTAGGCGATGAAACTTAAACATTCACATATTTTTATTCTAAGGGTAACAATTGGTTATTGATGAGTAGATTACACATTAACTCACCACCTGATACTAGTATAGTGGGCTAAATACATCAGAAACTAAGGTCAGCAGGAAAAAAATTTGAAATTAGAAAAACAAATTTGAGCTACGTGAGACGTTTAATGACGCATATCTATTATGAACGTACTTTAACCGTTTGAATGTTAGAAAGTAGTACTACAACGGGTTGAACGATGAGAGTCAAAAATCTCGTTGATAATTATTTATGGTAGACGGGATTTTCAAATTTCTCCGATTAGCTATGAAAAGCAGCGGTGCATTCTTCTGAACCTGGTAGATCTGCCAGGTTTGTCTGCTTTCCCTAATTACTTCCTACGTTGTCTTAGGCTGCCTAGCTAGATTACCCTGCCCCCGGCACACTCAACTTCAGAAGGGAAACCGAGCTAATCAGTCAGTCTAACATATTTAAGTATCTTAAACGCTTACAAATATTTTTGCAAAATTTAAAAATTCCTGTTTTAGTCTTCGAGTCTGTGCACTAAGCGTAAAAAAACAGACAGAGCCAAGATGGTCGGAGCGGACGTCGCGAGTAGCGCTTCATTGGCATGCCTGACGACGTGTTGGGGCGATACAGAGCTGCCTCCCGCCTCACGGATATTGCAAGCCATCACACCCACCAGTCTCCATCAACTCCAAGAACTTCAACGGCATGTGATGTATTAGCCTTGATTAAACTTAATGGAGCCTTCAGAAGATCATCAAAGGAACATTCAGATAACAGTTCTAACATCTCATTTAATTGTTATGAAGTCGAGAATAAGACAATAAGCATAATCAAACGAAATGTCATCTTTGAGAAGAAAGTCTCGCAAAAATCAGTTGAAATTGAACTCGCTGCATGAAATTCGAATTGTGTGAATTACATTTAAGCATTTTTATTCACTAAGACCTCTAGCAAATCATAAATAACGTCCATGTGCAATAATGCACTGATGAAATCGAACGTATTGTATTGCAAGAGAGTATGAATTTTGTTCAGGCATATCCCATAAAGGCAATTATAATTAATTACCTCCCAATTATAATTACATCATATGAAAATGATTGAAAAGTAAAACCAAAGACTGTTTTACCCACTGTTTTTCTCCCCAATTCGAACAAAATTAGGAGCAATGAATATGAAACCGTCGGTATCAAAAGTTCTCAATGAATGGAATGAGTACAAATGTTTTTTAACATTTTACTCGGCATTTGTATAATCCAAAGACATAAAAACTCGGGTTTCAAACTTCTATAGGGCAAAAAAATAACTTAATGTCCATATAAATATAATTAAAAAGGCTTTCGAAATTGGAGATTATATGCAATGATGGTAGCCACAAAAACATAGAGCTCGTGCAGGGTTTTCCTTTTAGTGCTAAGAGATTCTTGTGAGTCAAGTACATTATTGCAGTACAGGTCATCATGGCCTTTTAATGCAAGCTATAACAACAAAAGTTTAATGTTACCACATAAGGGTGCAGTAAAAAAGGCTCGGGTAGTTTCTTCTCAAATGAAAAGGACATGCGGATGTGGATGAGATAGAAGGGCCAAAGAACGACCTCATTAAGAACTCGAGATATCGCACAGAATTTATAGGTGTACTCATTCGAGTTCCTCACTAGTTTGCTAGATCTGATGTCTGAATTACCACTGGGATGCAATGTAAACTAAAGCAATTGTCAAGCCACATAGAAGCTTTAAAAGAGAAGATGTAAGTTGAGAGTAAGTTGACTTGACGAAATATGAAATAACTGCTAGCCTTTGCATCAGATAAAAATGTGATTGGAAAGGGACATAAGATATGCTGCGAAAAAGTAATTGATTTTACGTTTGTCCGTTAGCCAAAATTTTTATTGGAAAGGTTACTAGTGAAGCAGTATAAGAGGGTCATGTTAGCGCTGGAGCAACGGAATGTAAGAGGACCACGACAGCGCAGTAGCACCACAGTATAACGGGCAAGTATCACCGCAGCGTAGTATCACCACAGTATTAGAGGGCCGTGACAGCGAAGCAGCAGCGCAGTAAAAGAGGGCCGAGGTAGCGCAGCAGCACCGCAGTATAAGAGGGCCAAGGTAGCGCAGCAGCACCGCAGTATTAGAGGGCTGTGGTCGCGCAGCAGCACCGCAGTATAAAAGGGCCGAGGTCGCGCAGCAGCACCGCAGTATTAGAGAGAGGGCTGTGGTCGCGCAGCAGCACCGCAGTATATGAGGGCTGTGGTAAAGCAGCAGCACCGCAGTATATGCAGTATATGAGGGCTGTGGTCGCGCAGCAGCACCGCAGTATATGAGGGCCGAGGTAGCGCAGCAGCAGAGGGAGTTCAAGGTGTCAGAGACTAGGAGGATCACGGCGCCGAGGGACTCCCTCGCTCAGCAATTAGAGGCAATGGCTGCACTTATCCCGGCAGGAGCGTCTCGTCGTGCTGAGCGGAATAACAATGATGCATGAAGACATTCGCTCATCGTTGCTGATGCCTTCCTTAACTTTTCCTCTCAAAGAAAGACTCGTCGTGCAAGGCAAAGTGTACCTGGCATTTTTAACTCAATAATACTCGTAAAGCTAACTAGCTAAGTTTTTATCATGTCTGTATCAAGAGTGGCTCCCATGAGGACACTAGGACGCTAATGTCAGTCGCGAACTGCCACCCTGCGGGGCATTTGAGCGCTAATAAAGACCTCGGTGGGGTTCGTCATTCGCACGAACTTTTTTCGCACGAAATGGTTTCAAACACAAGATAATGTTACGTAGAGTAGGGTGTACAAGTCAACATAATTCATATGGCTCCATCCAACCTATAGGCGCAAACAACGAAAATCGCTTCAAATTGAATAGGTAATTCCAGCACTAACCCATATTCAGAATAAGCACAAAATGATAACATCTTCTACGAATCATAGTACCGTCAGAAGTACTGAATGCGAACGAGGAAAATAATATTCAGGTTTAAACTTCATTTGAAGAAATCATACCAAAAATATAACTGATCGCAAATAAAATTAAATAATAAAATGAAGTATTTACAAGTTAAAGTTAGGGAATAGAAGCAGTTTATTTCATAAAAAAGCACGAGGAACCGACCTGAGGAGCAGAATAGGGAATTTTCTCGTAGTGAGGCTCGTCGCGGATGAGGTGAAGAGTCTGAAAAAATAAAGAAGCTCAAATGAAGTAATTACTTCACAGAGGAAATTCACATCGTATGAATGAGCTCACCACCAATAAACATGCATGAGTTTATTCAATCAATAAGAAGGGAAATTTTTCCGCAATATGAAGCACGATCTTCCTTTCATTTGAAATTGGCTATTCTAAATAAATTAGGGAGATGAATTTGTACGGAAATAATAAATAGGGCCCTAACTGAATAAATAGGGTAACGAAAGATTATATATTGTACTAAAATAAATTGAATACGAACAGGATAAAAAGGGTGCGGACTGGACAAAAATTGTAACAGGAAAAATTGGACGCGGTTTAGAATTAATTTGGCACCTCCTCAAGTACAGTAGGCTAATATCACAGTTAACAAAATTAAAAAAGGTTTTGTGTTCACAGGTTACAAAGTGTGGAAGATTTTAATTGCAGGCCACCCGATAAGAGGAGGTTGAAATAGCAGGCCTCAAAAGCGTAACTGGCTGTAGTATTGCAGACTGTTACTGCCGACCTTCAAATACAGCAGGCTGCAATCACAGGCCACGTAATCAACAGTAGGCTGTCATCGCAGGTCATTTAATAAACGCGGGCTGTCAGCGCAGGTCGTTTAATTAACCCCGGGCTGTCAGCGCACGTCATGTAATTAACAGCAGGCTATCAACGCAGGTCATTAAATTAACCGCGGACTGTCAGCGCAGGTCATTTAAGTAACAGCAGGCTGTCAGCGCAGGTCGTTTAATTAACCGTTGACTGTCAGCGCAGGCCACTTAATAAACAGCACGATGTTCCCGCACGTGTATGAGAATGTTAGCTGCCTCAACGATGACCAGAAAATATTCGATGATTGAGTGAAGTTTTCCCAAGTCACGTGCAAGGTTATTAACGACCTCAACGTGTATGCCTTGAAATCGAGAAAAAAGATCTTTTGCTTCAACTTATTCAGGACAAGTCCGCAAAATTATATTGCGAGTAAATATAATTAAATTCTCTTCGCCAAACTACCGGTTACGGAGGTTGAACAATTTTGACGAAGAAAAATGTATGGAACAATCAAAGAGGCTTTTGCAGCACGGAATAGAGGCGCACATCTAATATAAATAGGGTGCAATGAAACTGCAGTGTATTTGAGATACAATAATTCCAGATAAATATAAGCCTACTCGCCATTTCCAAATCAAAACGCGAAGAGAAATTGAAATATTAAGAACGCGCATGCATCAATTGATTGCAACCTATATTACATACAAATGTAAATGAACCATTTCTTGTCAAATTGATAGAATGAACTTCGGCAAATTTTGATGAACGAATTAATTTTGGTAGAATTTTTTTTTCACAAGAAAAATCGTAAACATTTTTTGATTTTCAAGCCTAGAGGTACAAGGCATAGTCCCGAATTAAGTAACAGGCAATTAACTGCTATACACTAATCAACTGTAATTCCTAACAAGTTCAGGCAAAAAAATCAGGAAACATTATAATTCTGATATTATTCGCGTTAACCGATTGTATAAAAATCATTGCATTGCAGAATTTCAATTTCATGCTCACAAGCTTTAAATGTTATGAATTCGCGTAACCGCATAGTTACGAACAAACCCATTTAGCAACAGATGTTAATATTAGTATGTGAGGTCTCCATCCATGCAAATATTGAATGGATTCAATATTCTGACCATCCATTCAAATATTGAATGGATGGAAATGATACGAAAATAATAGGAAAATATTGCAGTGAAGACAATCGGTTCATCGGTCGCAATTAATGAAGCTCAGAAATAAAAATTAGTTTCCAAATCAAAAGTATCATGGTACACTCTCACTCATCAGTCACTGGAATAGAAGCATATAAAAGCCGAAAAACGATGGTCAGGAAAGAATTAAACATTTGGACCTTGCGGGGACAGAGGAGTGCTTGAAATAAAATAATGACGCACTAGGGGTTTACTGCCCCATCCGGAGAAAAGTAGGAACTAATAAAGCATAGAGGGTTTACCGCGCCATCCGGAGAAAAGTAGGAACTAATAAAGCATAGAGGGTTTACTGCGCCTTTGGGAGAAAAGTAGGAACTAATAAAGCATAGAGAGTTTACCGCGCCATCCGGAGAAAAGTAGGAACTAATAAAGCATAGAGGGTTTACTGCGCCTTTGGGAGAAAAGTAGGAACTAATAAAGCATAGAGAGTTTACTGCGCCATCCGGAGAAAAGTAGGAACTAATAAAGCATTGAGATTTTACTGCGCCAGCGGGAGGAAAGTAGGAGCTAATAAAGCATAGAGAGTTTACTGTACTATGGGGAGGAAAAAAGACGCGAGTGATGCAAGTGGGGTTCACTGAGGCGAGAGGGACAGTGGCCGCACGAGCGGTCGCCGTAATGCAGTAGCAAGGGACATGTAGGCTGGTATGCAGAGCGCGTGCAAGGATCGAATATCGCTAGGCTCGAAAGTCCACGGCAACTGTGCGCCTGAGATGCTAATGGCAGCTTGGTCAATTTCGGGGTTTAAGGGAAATTGTCTGTGATCTCAGATTGCAGACGCCACAGCCGCTTCACAAAAACCAAAGATTGTCCCAACTCCAGTGAAAGTGTTCGTAGCGTAGTCGGTTTGCTCGGAACAACAGGCTGATACACATAAATTTTGTTACGACTGAGATAGCACGAAAAGAAAATAGTACATTACAATCACAATTGATAAAGCAATATTTGTATTTATAATGGGATAGAAAAACTGATTATTTAATGTAAGCAAATTTTTTTAAACTTGGGCGACTGTAAAGAAAATTTCCTTTGTGGAATACGAAGCTGGAAAACAAGAAGCAGCCACGCCACTGCTTGAAAAATTTTCTTCTTCGGAGACACAAGTACATCCCTCAATTTGGAGGCGAGCGTTTCAAGAGCGGCACAAATTCGTTGTTATAAGCAAGAAAACATGGAAGCGTCGGTCGCGCGACGTCTCTCTGACAACCAAGAAACCTTGTCGACAGCCTCCTAAATGTTGTCGAGTCGTGATAAGATCTCCAAGCCACACGTTCCCTTTGTGATGCTATTTTATTCGTCCGGATTTTCTTTTATCAATTTGCACCGCTCAACAGATGATATTCCACGGAGAAAGGACAACTCGGTCCGATAAGACCGGGTTGGATTTGGGACCAAATTTTCTTGCATTCTGGCAAAAGGAAAGCGAGTCTATTCCCGAGCGGCGAGAATCGAAATGTATTCAAAAATTATGTGGGGAAAAAACCATTGCGATGTTTCGTTGAAATTGATAGAAATTCTGTATCCCTGCCACATTTAAAAACTCAAGGAATCAATAATCTCTTGTTATAGAAGAACGAGAAATTACATCTAAGATTGAATTACTAATTATGCTTACGCAACTTAAATGTATACGAATAGATAATAATTTAAAACAAATATTTATTAAAACCTAGGATTTTATTGGAGTCCCAAAATCGAAATGCGAAGACTTTAAAATGAAACTCAAAGGCTAAATTGATAGAAAATTGAAAACAATATCGCCATATCGAAACTTATGGTTGAGGCATTGAGTTAAAACCATCGTGTGACCATCGATGTTTTCTCCTTGCACACTTCGGCCAAGAAAACAATGTCTGGTATATTCTGCAACTCGGTACCCTCAACATCGTCGAGAACTTTTTCCAATTTGCCATGAGCTTTTGTTTGTGATTCGAGCAGACAATAAGAAACTTCAGGAAAATTCGAAGTTGTTGTTGCAATGGTCGCAGAACTTTCCAGGAGAAACGTGAAGCATGCAGCAATAAGAAAGAGGCCACTTGGATCACAGCAATTCTGGTGGTCTCTCTTGAAGCAATAAGAGCAACTGGACTCCAGAGGCAATCTCGCCAACAGAACTTTTAAGAAAATACTACCGACGAGAGTACCGAAAAAATGGTCAGAAAACAAATTTCAGAGCAATACTTTCAACAAGCATTTAAAGAAAAATACACAATGTTTGAATGACAGTTAAAACTTAAACATTTAAATTGCCATGCATATGGACACTTGAAACTTGTTCACGTTAAGAAAGCGTCTACCTAAATATTTAAATACAAATTGATTAATAGTAGTAAAAGTTGTAAATTCTAAATAAGTTAGAAAAAAAGCAGTCTCGGCGTGACATTAGTAAGGAAAAGAATCAAATCCGAAGAAATAATACGTAATTGATTTCATTCGTAGATTTTCGAAGTTCCTTGAAAATATTTTCCTTAAAGAATCGTTATGATTCAATGGCCCATATATTAAACTAGAGTTTAGCGACTTGCATAGAGAGATGGGAAGGTGATAATAATTCTACCACATTACTGACAAATGGGATCGTAAAATAAAATAACTCAATGTGCATGATAACGAAAAGATAAAGTTTGTGATCACAATGAAAAATTACCAGGCGGATTTTCGCGGACACAGTCAGCCGCATTAAAAAAACTCTTACAAGGGTTAGAGTTAAATCTCCTTAACTTTATTATCTTCAATATCAATTTAAGTCAGTGAGAAAGAAGGATTGCATCCCAAATTTTCGACGACGGTACACTTGGTGTGAACTCAGAGTGAATGAATTACTTAAAATTTCACTTGAGACATGAGAGAACGTTTATATTCAACTTTCTTGATTTAAACGACACCTTTCCACGCCAAATAAAATAAAAACAAATCTCAATTTAAAATACAAAATGTTTAACTAAAAATATGAATAATTCTTCTACAGTAAATTGAACACATATCACACAAATTACTGCCAGATACATTTCTAAGCTGACTGAGGCAAATCAAATCATCAGTTTTTATTTATGATATATGAAAAAGTCGTTATCAATTTCTAATTAATCCATAAAACAACAAGTATAAATTATTATCCCTACTTCCATCTAAATTACCATTGAAACAATATACATTGAAATCTTAATGAATGTTCGTATATTCAACCGCAAAAATATCGGCCTGGAGCATCATGGTGTGGCCGAATGACAGAGG